GCATCAATCTTCCTTTGAGGTCTGGCTTATTGAATAACCATTCAAGTGCTTGATGGTCCACCCATATATCAAATACAGTGCCCTCAACATACCTTTCATTCTTATTACACCCAAATACAATCGCTAAACACTCCTTCTCTGTAACTGTATAATTAATTTCTTGACTATTCAGTTTCCTCGATTCGAATGTTATAGGTCTAAACTCACTACTCTTATCCACTTTTTCTAATACTGCCCTAACTGAAATATCACATGCATCTGTATATAGTTGATAAGGTTTTGATCTGTTTTTTGTCTCCACCTAATTAGGTCCCTTTAAGACTACTTCGTTTAGTAACAATATTTTAAGTTCATTGAACGATTTACTCTGATCTTTTCACCAATAAAACTCACTGTCTTTTCTCATTAGATCAGTTAATGGCTTAGCAATTTTGCTAAAGTTCCTTATAAACCGTCAGTAATATCCTATAGCCTCATGGAATGACTTTACTTCATCAAGATTTTTTGGTCCTCTCCATTCTTGTATCCTTTTTACTCCTTTCACATCCACTTTGATCCCATTTTTGCTAACAGGAAAGCCATACATATTAATTTCTTTGTAGGTAATGAAGCACTTCTTTGCGACAAACGTCAACTCCGCTTCCTCGAATTTTTTGACTAATCTTATGAATACGTCGATGTGTCCATCCAAATCCCCATCTGTCCATAGTCCAACATTGTCCTGATATGCCGCTGTGCAATTTCTCCATTCATCTCCTTTTAGAATCAGATCCATCAACCTCTGAAATGTTTCACTTGCATTCTTTAGTCCCATACACATTACAGTATAGCGCAAGACTCCCATTGACATTGACACCGCTACCTTGTCTCTGTCTTCTTCACGAATCCCAATCTGCCAATATCCTTTATATGCATCTACTCCTGAATACCAGTCATGTTCTACAGCCTTTTCCAATATGTCTTGGATGATTGGGAGTGGGTAACTGTCCTTTACTATAAATTTATTCAATGGTTTCATATTCCCAACAGCGCGAATACGATCTGTCCCACCTTCTTTCTTGTCTATGGGAAAACAATGGTAGGCATACGGCCCGTTTCTTTCCTCCAATAAACCATATTTGATCATTTCTCGTAGGTGCTCTTCAAACAACTTGGCTCTTTCCGAGTTGTTAATTCTAATTGGTCTCATTCTTTTCAGCAGAACTTCTACACCACCTGTTCTTACCTCATACTCTACCAACTTAGTTCTGCCTAACTCAGACAGATCAAAGGCAAACACCTTTGACACTTCTTGTACTAATCGTGTGATTATTTTCTTTTTTTCTTTAGGTCGAAGGCCAGTTCCAAAATTTAGCAATGTTGCATTCTCTATTGTTAACCTCCGTAACACCATTGGTTCCATCGTCACACCTTCATTATGTCTTATTGTTTTTGAATCTCTTAACCCGTTCCTTTCAGCTCTCTTCTTTGACCACTTTATACCTCTTTCCAAAGTGTATATTTCTTCTTCTCTCACGTAAAATCTTCGTACTGCTGTCACTTGATTAATTTCTTCTTCTTCTTCTTCATACTCATCTAAATCATCTTCGTCTTCATTACTTGCTCCTACCTAGTCTCGTAGCACCACTGAGACTATAAACGAGGCTTCTCTTTTAGGGGACGAAACAGAGCACTAGTATTCGTTTCTTTTCTATTGCAGGTTACAGTTAGCACTCGCTATCCAAGGCATTCCTAGCAACACATCAAAACTCGCCGATTCCATAACATAGAACCCTTGATTCGTCACTACACCTTCATTCACACACTTCCATGCTAACCCTCTTTTTCTTGTGTATTTCTCATGCATTAGGTTTAATCTCGAACCAGGATCAATTGGTGTATCCACCAACTCTCCATTTATTGACGTGGGACAAGTTGGGACTATTTCGTTCTTTATTGTTCTATCTTCCCTTCTCTGAATGAGTCTCACTCGAACGTCCACATTTGACGTGTCATTATCCCTTCATTTACGAGCTAACGCCTTCATAATTTATACTCTTGCTTTCGGAGACTATTTGAGTAGTTGTCCTAAGGAAATATTAATTTTGAAATCTGACACTGTTTTTAGAATGTCAAGATCTTCAACTACTTCTGTTAGGGGTATGTACATTGTCGTTCCTTTTGTTTTTTCTGCGATGTTCATTGCCTCGTCATTCTCTAACACAATTACTTCGTGAGTTTTGCCTCTTTTGTTAGGTTCGTCGAATTCACTTTCTTGTTGTTTTCTCTTTCTCAGCTTCCTTATAAAACCCATATTCTCATTTTGGTCGTTCTCAATATCTAGTAGTTCTACCTTGAGATAATTCGTTTTGTCTTTTATTGATTCAGTGGTTAATAAACGCATATTTGGATCCCCTTGATTATTTTAATTGCTGTTTGGGCGCACATCTGTATTCATTCGATTATTGTTTTGATGTGTGGGCCTTTCTCTCTGTAACTTATTCGAGCAATCACGAGCCATATGTCCTTCGCGTCGACATTCATAACAATGGCGTGGCTCTATGTTTCTTTCGTTTCGATATTGTGATGTATTCTTAGTTGTGAAATCCTTGATTACTTTCGATAATTTCTTCACCGTGTCCTGTATTTCCTGAATTTCGTTTTTCGGTGCCTCTTCCATTCTACATATCTTCATAGCTTCTATCTTACTCGTTAAATCGTCAATATCTAATTTTGTGTTCATTTGCGATCCTTCTAGTAATGTTTTCATCGCTTTTTGATTGTCGTAATCATCATCTTTTTCGTACATTTCAATCTTTAATGCTAATACTTTTGCTTCGTTAAAATCCGTTGGATAGTTCATTTCAACCTTGACTCGGTATTCTCTTTTCAACCCTTTAATAAACCATTTTCGCTTTTCCCTTGTTCTTACATCCTCTTTTATTGCATTAGCATATGACTCGAATCTGTTTGCATATCTAGTTATGGATTCGTTCTCCTCTTGTTTCATTCTCATAAGCTTCGTGACCTTCTCTTCCACTTGATATTTTGTCTTTGCAGCCTTTACAATTAAATTCTTTAGGTCTTTCCATGTTGTGGTCGCTTTCATTAACTCTCGGATCCACTGTCTTGCACCTTCCGAAACATGTAGCCCGACCACTTTCTTTTTCCGATCATTATCCCATTGTTTCGATTCTGCATACATTTCAAAATCAAATAAGAAGTCTTCGATGTCTTCACCTTCATATCCGTGATAAAATAGTTTAGTAAAATCTTGTGTTGACATGTTGATCCTTCTTCTTACTGTATAATATTTAATTTATACGCTTAGTTTACTCGTTGTTGTTGTTTTTTTTTTTTTTTTTTTTTTTTTTTTTTTTTGTGTACAATATATTATCGTTTTTCACAATGTTGCGAGAGATACTGTTTTATTTACCCAGGTCCTTCTCTGTCAGGAGTTAATCTATAATTGTGGTTATAGTTATCTAGCTCTAGGTTACTTGACAGTGTCGTTATACTTCATACACCTCTTTATTATTCAAAATGAA